CCATAAACCCAAAGTGATTTTTTGGATAATTCTGGGAAATTTTAGAACATGAAATGAATAAATGAATATAAATGATCTATAAATGGGGAAAACTATGGTTAGATGTCTATAGATCACTGGTGATTTATAGATAATGAAGGGTTAGCCCAGGACGCCAAGGGTCTAATCCTCCCAGCATGCCTCGGCACCATGGGTCGTGAGGGAATGCCGGCAGCACAAAAGAGAGCCCTGGCCAAAAAAGACCGGGGCAAATACCATCTGGTAAACTAACATAGCTATTGAAAATGGCCATTTATAGTGGAATTTCCCATTTAAAATGGTGATTTTCCATAGTTATGTTAGTTTACCAGAGGGTACATGGTTGGAATTTGGCTATAACTATGGAATCACTATGGAATTTCAACATTTTCAACATCCATAACTATATAGAATATGGCTATAACTATAGAATTTCAAGCAAAAAAAAACCTCCATTTTTGTTGGGTGATCATTCATCATTCCCACAACTAGCGAATAGTTCCTACAACTATGGTTATGTAGCCATAGTAACTATGGTAACTATGGCCCATTTGATAAGGACAATCATGGGATATTTTTCTGGGACAATGGATTTACCCTTCGGTAATCAAACATGGCTGGCTGGACAATCCCCGAACTAAATGGAGCTTTCGTTCGCTGGGAAAATCATGGAACTACTATTGCTGGGTGTGGATCAACCCCAAAAAAATGGGATTTCATCAACCCATATCAACCCCAATTTTTTTCGGGATTTAGATGGATTTTTAGATCGACAAAATGACCGGACTCGTTTCCTTCAGCTTGGAAATGAGGATTTGTCAACAAAAACCATGGGGATTGCGGGGACAAGTTCACTGCGATGAGGAAATTGGTCAATGAAGACATGTTTCTGTGGGTCTAACAATGTCTAACAGGAATGGCAAGGAGGGGGACTTACACTCAAAGTCATTACTGAAATAGACCCTTGTTTGCTACCAGAATTTTATTGTATAATATAATATAATATAATATAATATATTTGCAAATTCCTGTCCTTGGTCTCAGAGTTTTACAAAGAGACCACACGGAAAAGACCAGTTTGGCAAATCACGGGAGACCAGTTCTCCTGATTATCGGTGAAACATCGGCGCATGTATGGATCAGTTCAAAACGATGTGCAAATAAGTACAATAATTCTTTAAAAACATGTAACATGTATTCAATGAAATGTGGGAAACCCAATCATAAACCTAGGATTTGTGGATGGTTTATCCATGTTTATCCATTAAAAAATGGTGATTTTGGGGACGGTTTAACGGATCCCGGATCCACGTCCCGTCATCACCCAAGAGTCACCCAGCTGAAACCAGCCAGGGCGGCTCTTCGACCAAATCGACCTGACGACCAAATCCAGGGTGTTTTAACCCACCAGAAATCTGAGAAATGAACTATTGTTGTTGGTGATACATGTGTATATATATATATGTATATATATATATGTATATATATATATATTATATATATAATCATATATATATATATATTATATATAATCATATATATATACAATTATATACACACATATATTATCCATTCATTGTTGATAACTATATAGTGAATCCAAATAGTGAAATCATCCAATGAACCAACACGATTGTCAACATCTCTCCGACTCCTGGCAATTGTCCCACAGGTTGCCACCCCATAGCCATCAGGATCGGTTCACCCCCCATGATTCATGTGGCTTCTACACACCGATGATTCGTGTGGTTTTACTGGTTGTCCACTTTCTTCTTGAACATAATCTGTATGTATCATAATGAACCACAATCATTCTTTCATGATACAAGAATTCCTCCCTATCTTCTGTGTTTCCCATGATTCGTGTGAGCAATCACCGAATAATCTGTCTGTATCAGAATGAACCAACTGCTTTGTTGATTGTCGATGAAACTTATGGCTGGTAAACCAAAAACAATGGTTGTTAACTCAATTAACAAATGGCATTGGTGGTATATAATCGCTAATGATAAGTTCTATGATCATTAGTGGTTATATAATTCACTAATGAAAATTACAAGTAATATATGATATATAATGATTTATTAATGATTCACTAGCAATGATTTATATATGATTCACACGTGAATATCACAAATGGATATTTAAATGATTACAGAAATCGCTACTATAATATATGATACAATTTTACTACTAGTTCTACTTCTACTGCTACTGCTACTGCCAAATAATTATATATATATATACATATATCATTATATTATTGTACATTTATTTTGTGAAAAACACAATTAAACACAATTGCGAAAAGAGTAGTCCTATCCCTCAGTCAATAAAATGTATGATAATATCATATGATATTTATAACAAAATCATTACTATTGCATACTATTACTATGTTTTTTTTTAAAAAAATCAATATATAAATCCATTGCACAGCCCCGCTGCCAAGCCACGCCCCAGGTTCTCAGGTTGGTGGCATACACTGGACCTCCACCTCAGCGATTCATAACCACTGAATGGGGGACAATCACCAGGGTTATGAAACCAGTTAAGTAGTTTGTTTGTTCTTTTTTCCGGAGATTTCTGAGAGTTGCAAGGTATGGCTTAGTTTACTAATAGCTACTATAGTTCAAAAAATCATGATGCCATCCACCATATGGATTACTGCAATGACTTGTGGTTAATAAAGAAAGACTCTTTCTAGTTATAACCATCATTGACTATTTACTGCTACTATCTATTACTGCAAGATTTACCTCACACTTCTTTATAGTGATGGCGTAAAAGAACGGTGGATAGTCATGGATCGGTGAAAGATTGTTGAAGTACCCTCTGGTTATCTAACATAGCTATGGAAGATGCAAACAACTGGCCGAATTATAGATGATCTATTGATCTTAATCTTACCTAGAGATTATTAAACACGATGATTTTCTATGTTGAATTACCAGAGGCTATTTGGATTCGATACAAACTGGCAGAAACTTTCAGCTTCTGCTACCAAGGTTTGAAACCAAAATCAGTACCTGGTGAAGCATCCGGGCATCTTCCCGACCCATGGCTGGGATGGTGTTCGAATTTGTTTGGGGTAGATCTCAAGACCAGAATCTAACACCATATTTGGATGTGACCATCTATCTATCTATCCATCCATCTATCCATCTATCTATCCATCTAATCCATCTATCAATCTATCAATCTATGGCTTTCTAACATCCATTTGGGATAGAATTCCCCCCCTGATCCGTTCGCTTCGTCCAAGTCGTCCAAGTCACCCATCCGGGCGTTGACCTGCGAAACCGTGGAACCGTGGAGTCATAAGTGGAGCCATCCTCTGCTGAAATTTGCCGAAGTTTTGGTGTCAAAATATGGCAAAATATGGTAAAAACCAATGAAAATTGTCAAATATCTGGCAAAATATGGTAAAACCCATGTAAAATCCACCTATTCACTAAGAATCTAGATCTGTATCATTCTGTAATCCATCCAGGATGGTAACCAGCATGGTATCTCTAGGTAAATTTCGAAAAACCTGGCTGTTGCATCACATCTTTGTCCATCCCAAATGTATTCCACATATTCCAGTAATACTCCAAACACACAATCACTTTTGTTGGATATACGAATGATACCCCCAAGTCTTCTTTAAAAATCAGTAACTTTGCTATATGACTAGGATTTGTGGTTGATACCGTAGATTTATGGTTGGATGGGGTGATAAATCAACTTACAACTGGGGGGGCCCTTCTCGCAGAAGACAGTCATTTCAAGCGGAATTGTAGATCATGTTCCTTTGGGAAATCATTTCCCTCGTATCTATGTAAAGTTAATAGATGATATATTCCAATATGTTTGCAGTGATGGTTGTATGATTATACCCCTACTTTTCTTGGTTGAATACACCTTGTTTTACATTCAATTTCCTGACAACAACGGTGTGCCATAGTTTTGTAAAGCTATCTATCTATCTATCTATCCATCCATCCATCCATCCATCTATCTATCTATCTATACGTGCAATACAGAGTTTTACATATACAAAAAAATCACATATACATATGTATAATAGATACACTTACCTTTCTATTTTCACCATATATATATATATACTGTATATGTATATATATATCATCCATTTATAGATGGATTTTCCATTGTAAACCAACCATAATTGGGATCCCGCATTTTAGGACACCTCCATATGTACCCCATCTTTTATAGAGCTAAATTCATGTTGTATATACATATTATATATATATATATGTTTCCCAAAATAGGGGTACACCTAAATCATCCACTTTCATAGGAATTGCCATGATAAACCATCCAGCTGTTGAGGTACCCCTAGTTCAGGAAACCATCATATATAACATTTATATACATATAAACCATACATGTAAACCATACATATAAACCATACATATAAACCATACATATAAACCATACATATAAACCATACATATAAACCATACATATAAACCATATAAACCATATAAACCATCATATACCCCTATTTCCATTATAAACCATATATAATTGTAGCGTGCCTCAATGAGCTGCGCGCCATGCGAAGTGGTGTACTTCAACTCCACGTGAAAGATGCCGTCCTGGCGCTTGAGATCACTCGAGGGAACCTGGGAAAAAACTTGGGAAAACATAGGGAAAACATGGGAATAACTTGGGAACACTTGAACACATGGAAAATTGGCAAATTTATAGATGATTTACATTGATTTACCATGATTTACCTATGATTTATCTATCAAATCTATTACTGTTTTCCATACTTGGAGGATCATCGCATCTAGATATTTAAAAATTTAGTAAGTGGTGAGTCACCATAGTCACCATAGCTATAAGCCGTTGAATGGGATAACCCCCGAAACGGAGACTATAATTCCCCTCAGTAACCATGATTACAGTGAGGTCACGTTGTGATCATAATTCATCCAGATTACATGATCCATGATGATCCCATATATATTTCATGTTCCATTGTACCACCATTAATGTGTCTTTTTTCCATCCACAAGCATTCAGCCAGTCGCAGCCCTTCCAAAAACCGGCTCCTGGAAACCCAAGGCCTGGCGATGCTGGTTATGTCTATCCAAAAAACATAACTAATCAGATGGTCCACTGATGGTTAGGATTACCTAACCATCTAAAAACATGTTCGTATAGCAATCTCCACTTCTTCATATTTTAACAACATCTTAGTAATCCCATCCCCGTTCATATTAAACACCCCCCGTTCAACGAAACCATGTTTTTTCTAGGGAATTTCCACATTCCATACCATGAACGGGGGTGTTTTCCAGTGAACGGGGGATGGGATTAATCACACTGACTCAGTGACTTTCCCACCTTCACGCTGCTCACAGCCAGCTCTCGCAGTTCCACTTGCTTCTTGCGGGGCAACAAACTGGGCGACACCGCCCAGGTCTCGTTGAAGTAGGGTTCCAACCTGGACGTGATTTCCGGCGTGAAAGCCCTTGGAGGGATGAAAGAAGAAATTTAAAAAGGGACTATATGATATAAACATTAATATATAAACTATAGGATATAAAGGTCAGGATGTCTTTCTTATTCTATCATATTCTATCATATTCTATCATTACTATCGGCTATCGGATTGTACCACAGCATGATGTTGACATATGTGTTTACAAACTATGATTTGAAAAAAACTAGCATAATCCATGTCTCACTCCAGTCTGCACTCAATCCGTGCCGCCCCGACGTGGGTCCATTGTCGGACACCGCGGCAAATTGCCATTCTCCGTCGGACATGATCACGTCTACATCCACCTGGCGGGGTGGCCCCGGTGGTCGGGACATGACGCTTGGACTTAAAACAAAAATGGCCTTGGGAATAATATGGAGATGATAGATGATAATGACATATAATGTCATTGCGGATTAATTGACAATAGATGATAATAATATATTTTATATATGATCATAGATGATAATAAAATAGATGATAATAGAGTGATACTGCAATAGAGATGGCCATGATGTTTGATTCTATGACAAATGATAACATAATATAATATCATTATCAGGTGATGATTATATAGTATTTATGATGCTGATTTCTATTATAAACATAATCACTTGATTAGACACATAGTGACTTTTTGCATCTTCGTGTAACATCAAAACACAGTAATTTCATGTAATTTCATAATCCGGATCTATGATTGTCATAATCAATTTGTTATCCTTGCTTCAATCAATATCCTTATCATTGTACAGTAATTATTATCAGTGTCATAATCATCGACATCCAGAAACCACAGTCCAGGATGGAGTCTGCTCACGTGGAAGGCTTGCAATACAGTTGGGTCCATGTTGAACCTAAAAAACCTAAGATTTACAGTACATCTTCAGCTTCAGTTCATGTTTCACAATTTTGTGCATAGGACCTCTTCATTCTCAGATTTTTCCCAACTTCCAATAACATGTCAGATTAAAAATACATACGTGTGTATGAATAAACAATCCGGTTGTATTACCATTTTCCAAAATCATATTTATCATTGTATCATTAGTAATAACTATATATCCAGTTGTATTATACCATTCTATGGGCTATTTATGATACTAAGATAATGAATATGTATGATATTGTGATATATATATAATTGGCTTATGTATTCATATGTATGACATATCATATGTATTCATATAATCATCTTATGTACTAAATACAGTAATATTACAGGGCTGTTGGATATATCATCCATCAATATCCATCATGTCGTTCTTCAACAGCCCTCCGAACGCGCCTCGTCGCCGTCCAAATAACTTTCCAGCAGGAAACGGGCCCCGATCACCGATTCGGCGTTGATGGCCTTTCCACCTGGACGTTGTGGCATTTTTCACCAGGAAAATGGGGATTTCACCAACAGAAATGGTGGTTTTGCCAGCAGAAATGGTGGTTTAACCAACACAAATGATAATTTTTACCAACAGAAATGGTGGTTTAGCCAGCAGAAATGGTGGTTTAACCAACACAAATGATAATTTTTACCAACGGAAATGGTGGTTTAACATGGTTTAACCAACAAAAACACGGATTGACGTGGCAAAACTTTGGTAATGAAATATGGCTAGCTTGGAAATCCTCTGTAAATGGAGGTTGGTTCCAGCAAGCCATGTCTGATGACCAGAGGTAGATCGGTAGATGTACCATCAATGAATATGATCACATTAAGAATTGATGCACAAAACTGCAGATGATTCATATATATATATATACAGTACATATATATATATATACACAATATACATTATTCATGAGCAAATCAAATAAACCATCATAAACCATCGATCATTCGTGAGAAATTGTTTTGCTCAGATTCATCAGGATCCCAGCAGTTCAAACCCCAACTTGACACCATCACTATTTGCAAATAGGAAGTAGGGAAAAAAACATGGAAAACCATAGTAACTGCAAATATCTGCAAATAGTGAAATGATGTTTTCAGTCACCCATCAAAGTTCCAGTTTCGATCTGTCCGATTGTGGCGAGGAATGTCACTCACCTGGTGAAACAATCCAAACACATCATTTTTCCATCATCCCAAAATATAGGTCAATTACAGTATATAAATATATAAATATATATATATAAATGATGTTTGGAACATCACTATAGTAGTGACAATCAATGCTTGATGATAGTTGACCCTATAGGTTAGGTGACAATCAATTTTCACATCATCTTTGAAACCTTCAACGGCAGCATAACTCATTTGTTCATTCCCCGGCTTCAGGCCTGATGATCCATCATCCTGGCAGTGGGTGAATCATAACCCGGGGGAAGAAAAAGGGGCAAGCTGAAAAAGCTGAATTTTGATGTGAACACCAGGGGATTCCTGACTGGGTTTTGACCCATACCCATCAGAAAAGGCTGAATTTCATCACGAAAACATGTTTTTTTTTTCACAACGATACTGGCTGAGATGCAAAAAACTAAGGTGATGATCATCTCAGGTGAACATGTGAGACAGATATGTTCTGCTGAAATCGGAGAGTTTTTCCACTGCTCGATCACCCCCAACAATCCCGAAACATTGTGCTTGCTGGGACGAGAGAAGAATATCATCTGGCCATGACTAACAGCAATAGCCATGGAAAGATCCACCCATGTTTAAGTTCGGTAAACCATCTATTTCGATTAGGGCCATGGCTTAACCATGGCTATGTAACAAATAACCAGATGGTAAATATTAGTCAATGGGAAGGATTATCCCATACATTATGGAAAAAAAATGTTCCAAACCACCAACCAGTTGTGCAATGCTGATAGGAATATCATCTGCAGCAACTGCTGTCCAAAAATCTGTGCATTCAACGAAGTTGGTGGGTTCTCCCAGCTATGTCGTTGCGCGTTGCGCAAGCCACTTTTCATCGGCGTTCCAGTTGCGCCAACGGTGAGACAGGCGAAAGAACTACTTCAAATGGGTAGGCAATGCTCCAGGAAATGAGGATTTCAACCAAAAACCAGGGAAATTGTGAAAAAAACACGAGAACTCACCAACAAACAGAGAACAACAATTTTGGATATCTGGGGAATACCAATCAAGTGTAGGTCATTTGCGAAACTAGACTCAGACCAAACATCTTCCCTCATTGCACGAGGTCAATGACGTAACAGTCATAAGACAAACCTTCAGAACCGCAATTCTCAAGCACTGATTCAGGAAATGGAAACCAGTGCCCCAGTAGACCTCAGTGGACTCAGTGGTCACTGGTTGGAACACTTGGGAACCCTCCTCCCTACACTCATCCTATCTTCCCAATATGAAGTGTCCGGCATATCGGCCTCATCCTCCGGCATACTAGTACGCTCTGCCTGATAATCCTGATAGAATCCAATACTCATCCAGGATAATCCAGGGCTTCTGGATGGGTTTCTAGATCAAAAATGATCAAAAGGAAGAGTTATCAGGACTACTTCGAAACATCTCTGTGAATTTGGATTGAGCGTGTTGGAAGTAGAGCCTTCCTTGGCTGGTAGCTCCCCCTTCCCAAACCGTGGCCAGCGACGGAATTCTGCACACTCGCGCGAGGCATGTTCCTCTTGCAGCAACCTGGTTCCCAAGGGGCTGGTGCTGCTGAAGTAGATCTCTGGGGAGTTCTGGAATTTGGAGAACGCTTAAAAAAACCAAAGTGATCTAAAGATATCTAAAGTAAACATAGAATCATAGAATCTATCAACATATGGAACATTTCTAAGTTGAGAAGCACCCACAGAAGTTTTGTGACTCGTTTTGGATTCGTTTTGGTTAAGAATCTATAGCTTGCTTTTGGTAAATCCTCAGAGGATTGGCCTGTTTCCTTGCCGGAAAAAAATGATGATTGCTCCCATGCTCCCAAGGTACTCGGATGAGACTCAAGTTAGTCTGGTTGGGGATAGTTCTATATAGTGATATATAACTCATATCATTTATAGGATCTCACTATATCTGGTTGGTGGTTGACCTACCCCTCTGAAAAATATGAGTTCGTCAATGGGAAGGATGACATCCCACATATTATGGAAAATAAAAAATGTTCCAAACCACCAACCGTTTGGTGAATGGTGCACAAATGGGGTACAAATGGGGTACGTCCCCTTAAATGCATTGCACTGCAAAGATAGATGGAGAACCAATAATTTCAAATACCTTGCGCTAACCCTTTGGTAAGTACATCTCTGAAGCTGTGTTGAAGGGTGGACCTATATATAACTGAACAACATGCTGTTGATGTTGTAGCGCGCACATCCCAATTCGGCATGTGTCCCAAGATCATGCCCCAAAACTATACTCCATATATGTTTCCAAGAGGCTGTTGAAATTCCTCCACTCCAAAACCTGGGGACAAGGCGTGGTGTTTTTTGTGTGTCCCAGAGGGGGATGAATCTGAACAAATTGTACCCTCTGGTAATCAAACATGGCAATGGACAATCCTCCAGTTATAGTTATATAATAAATCTACATTTAGTTCGGAGAGTTTCCAGTTTGCCATGTTGGATTTCCGAGGCTGTGTTTACATAACATGGCGGTCTGAATCATCTACCGCGGCTTATTGATCCGGAGTTGATACCCTCCTGTCTCAACAATTTGTTTGTCAATGAAGGCCCCAATCTTCCCAATCTTCCAGGGAAGGGATTGAGGAATAATACGTTTAATCAATCAATCTGAAGAATTTATATACATATTTTGACAGGTACGGCAACCAAAACGAACCAGTATGGGGAGACACCACAGTCAGAAAAAAGGGTCAGGAACCATCTGAAAAGGTGACACCAAGGCCACCAGCCATTGATTGATCAGCCCTTGTGAAGTCATCATACATCCTAGAATTCTAGCCCATTGATAACATCCCATGAAGAATGCCACTTCTATATTGGCTGCAAAACGCCAGTGGAACTACAGTGTTGTCTGGATACACTAAGTCCGTAGTGGTGGTCCCAAACTAGTTCGGCCCACCCTTTCTGCTTCCTCTCAAAATCCTCCTGGCTCTGCCTGAATCATAAACTCACAAAGCTGAAATCATTTCATTTGAAAGTGATTACTCCGAGCAAAACCATGATCGCAGATCTTTATATAAGTAAATTCACCAAGATGTCCCATAAAAAACAATCATGTTCAGCCAACTATATTTCGTAATATGCTTCCATCTCTACGGCCGGACATAAAACACCCAGCATCCCCTTAAGAAAATAGTAAAATACCACCCCAACACCTAACAATCACCAAGCAATAACCCCAAATCCACCAAACATTTCACCAAACATCTCTAAAAAATCCCTCATGGCCCAAGAAATCCAGCCAAAATCTCCTCGAAACTCCAAGGAACATTAGGAGTTTCTATAAGTTGTTTAATGTTTTTTTTCTATGGGCAGTGTGTCAAAACCTTGTACCCCTGGTGAACATCAAAATAGCTGGGATTTATGGATGTTCATCCCACTAAAAATGTATCTATAGGTATTGACCCATAGCCATATTAAGTCCCTATTGTTGATGGGAAAATTCCATGGTTCCAACATGTTCCCTATAGGTATTGATCCATACCCCTATGTTTTTTTTATCAAAACCCCACGGAAAATCCCACCCATTCCAGCCATCCCCCAGGGACGATGGTAGGCCGCTGGCATCACCAGCACCGCTCGCCCCGAAGTCGGCGCCAGGCTGCGGCGCAGGGTGCGTAGCAGGGCGGCGGCCATCCAGGTGTCGTGCACGACGTCGGCGCCCAGGAGCACCTGAAACATACGTTACCCTCTGGTAAACTAACATAGCTATGGAAAATCACCATTGTTCATGGGAAAACTCACTATAAATGGTGATTTTCCATAGCTATGTTAGTTTACCAGAGGGTAACTATGAGTTGGTTTATAAACCCCATGAATACTCTGGTTATATCTGCCATAAACCATAGAAACATTGGAGTTATAAACCAACTTAGCTAACTATGGGGCACCACCTTGTAGAGGTGCCATGGTCACAACCGAGGGAATTCACCCAGATAGTTGTTTAATAATTGTTTTTGTAACGTTTAAATGAAGCAACTATCATGGTTGAACATGGTTAATAGTGACTAATAGTGGTTACGAATGGGTAGTAATGGTTGATAGAGGTTAATAGTGCTTAATATAACAGTCAAGAATTGGATATTAATGGGATAGTCTACCATGTATATTAAGGAACCTTGTGGTTCATAGTGGTTAACAACGTTGGGGGATGGATCACATGGATCACAGCAGATTCATTCGACATCCGAGGCTGGCTTGCTGCCGTTTTGGCAGATGGTGACTGAAAATGCGGTATACCTTCCAAATAGCAATCTGGTTGGTGGTGCAATAACCATCTTGAAAAATGATGGAGTTCGTCAATGGGAAGAATTATCCCATATATGAAACGGAAAAAAACAGTTATGTTCCAAACCACCAACCAGAAATTCTTATTGGAAAAACAATCCACGATCCGCTGATATCCACTGGGTCCACGGGGCACCCAACATTTCAAACCCATGACCCATGACTGGAACCAGTGCTGAAAATGCCTGGAATTTCGGTAGGTCCTCAGGAAGATCCAACCAGACCAACTTCTCCACCTGGATGTCCGTGTCCTTGGGAATTGCTTGGGATGTCCTCAACATGAAACATGGAAATCCAGGCGGGATTTTCATGCGACTTAAAGTGCTCTTGTTGTTGCATTCAAACATGTGTTTCAATGTCATCCAGAAACGAAATAAATCCATACCCCGGGGTAAAAAGGACATCAAGTTTATTGAAGCCAAGATTTCAGTGGGCTTATTGGTACACCGCCACCACCAGTGGTTCACTGATCGAATGATTCCCATCCCATGCAACAGACGGACCCTAACCGACATAAATTCGTTGTATTCCCCAAGCCCAATCATATTCCATTTATTCATATTTATTCACCATTCAACCGAATTTAACCCATGTCTTGTTACACCACCAATCATTCACTTCATGTAATATTTCCAGCTTTTCTCAGCTTTCTCACTTTTCTATCTTGGAGTTTGCTAATGGTTGCTATATATTTATATTACAGTATCTATACCCATCAGAAACGAACCATGAACATCCATGAACCATTAATTCTTCCCCACTTAACCCGATTAACTAGTTAAAACTCCGGCCTAATCATAAGCATCAGAAATGGCTTCATCCATGGTGAAACCCCCATCAGAAACTCTGCTTGAACCATGGCGAATCGTTTCCATCATGTTCCCATTTTATATGTCCATGATATTCACATTATGTTCATGGTATTCTGGTTGGTTTATGGACAGCTGGACCTAGTTCACTCTCAAATTGGATGAGAATTGGCAATCTAGTAGCTTAACATATATAGATCTTAGAATATCTTAGATCTTAGGTTGACCTTCGGTTCACCATGACAAAACTCATGGCCGGACTCCCGGACCTTCACGTTGATCTCCAGCTGTCGCAGCGCCGTTGCCTCCGACTCCGTGCAGCGCACCGCCTTGGCGCCGGCCGCAGCGCAGGCCAGCGACGGCAGGCCGTGGAAGCCGGCGCCGAGTTCCATGACCTGCGGGGGCGGGAAAGCCATGGGAAAACTGCGGAAAAACCATGGAAAAACGTAGATCTATGGGGAAAATCTGGAAAATCCAGAGTTTGTCGGATGATTGAAAAGGTGTTTGATGATTCGGTGATTCGATTTGTGTTCAACAAGAATCGGAGTTCTTTGCAAGATATTGAAGATATTGCCATGTTTGGATGATTTTCTGACCATTTTCGCATTGAACAAATCGGATCAAATCGGGACTTTCCGGCGACAAACGGTTTGATTACCAGAGGGCCTGGTTCCAGACTGAGTGGGGCGCGTGGTCAGCTTTCCAGAGGGATCAATGTTTCACCAACATGTTAGTGCTGTGGGTTCCAGGGGTCCCTAGTCATCAGCAAACACTAAAGAGAATAGCAACTCAAATCTCCGTGGGCTGCAAATAAAGAGTACAAAAACCCTCTGCATTTTTGAAAATAGATGGATGCGCCGTAAAATAATCATTTATGTCAAAAAAAACATGATTGACACCTCATTTTCGAATATTATCCCCATATGATTTCCCATAGTTTCCCACCTTATCTTCCCATTAGTTGATGGCCACAATGGCCCCCTCCATCCCCCTCCATCCACCTCCTTACCACGAACCAGTTCAGGGCAGCTCAGTAACAACTCGGTCAGCAGCTTGGCCGAGGGATAAATGCTGGTCGCTATAGGCCTGGCATGATGCGATTTCATGGGGATTTCACCAACGAATGGTGATGTTCACAGGGATTGAACTGACGAATTATATATATATATGATAAAGATGTTTTTGTATTGGGATAGGTCATCAATTCGATCTGATATTTGGGTGTGTTTGAAAATTGTCTATAACCATCAAAATAGCAATTTTAGTCGGGAAACTGCTAATAAACTATCATATTTTGGGGTACCTTATGTTCAAACAAATCCTATTGGATTTTGATGATTGAAACGTGGTAGCTTTAAGATTCTAGCAAATGAGACCTCAGCCATGAAAAATGGGAGCTTAATCATTGAACAATCTTATTTTAACAATGAACGATAGTTGAACATTGGGACTTTGACATTAACATGAAAACTGGTAATCATGAAAACACAATATGTTGACCGTTGAAAGCATGTTTTTTTTTTAACCATAGAACAGGGTTACAGTAAACCAACAGGCGAATGGCTGGTGAAAATGGTCTGAAATTCTAGCCTAGAAAAAGGAGGAATGTCAAGAACTTTATATTATAATGTATTATTGGTGTGTGTGTGTGTGTCAATATCTGAACAATGGTTGGTTGTGAGATATTGACATTCCCATTAAATGGTTGGTTGTATCCACATGGATCGATAGTAGTTTGGTGTGATTTTTTTTCTGTTCTATCTTTTTGGGGGTTGCTACAAAGCCATGGCCCATGGCCCAGCGTCAACCCGACAAACCCATAGCACAGTTGGGAGACTTCCCAATTCCCGTCCTGCCTCGCCTTCGAATTTTGTCCTGCTTCTTGCAATGGTGTAGCTTAAAAGTTGCGTGATGGTGCACTCCGGTCCTAAAAAACCGCTGCAGGTAACAGGAGGAGATAAAAAAAAAATATGGAAGTACCAGAAGGCCACTTTTTTGGGGGGAGTTGTGAGCCTGCATATGACTTCTAGAAGTAAATCTTCTAGTAGTTGAAGCTGTAGGACCAGTTGCTTCTCCAATGGTGAGCATGAGCTCGATCTATTGGCGAACGGATGAATAAATTTGGGTGATGGGGGTACCATCTGGTAATGTGACATGACAATGCAACATATGCCATAGACATATGACGTTTCGTCAAAAATTGTTCTTCTGGTTTGCTTCATAAGTCGCAATTGAACGGATGCCGCTTCTTGTTTGGTCTTCAAAAATAAGACCTATCTAAATCATCTGAAAACCTGCATCTTTTCTTTCATGTGTGAACCCGCATCTAAAACCTGGAGGGAAATGCTAGTGCATGTCTATTTGTAGATGTTCCATTCATTCATATAGATGTTTTTTTCTCCCCAATACACGAAAATGCGGGGATTTCCGAGCGGAGCAACGTGAACTCATCCCATCCCATATGTGACACGGATTGCAGATCATAGTGCCATAGTTCCGAGTTACATGGTATATGTTGGTCATCCCAGCATGAAAAACAACATGGAAACCGTGTAACAGATGGTACTGGTAGGTTCATGTTGGTGAATTTCAGCGTGCCTATATGCGTTTTAAGTGGTCTTACAATAAGCAATGATCCAATGGAACAATAATCTCATATAATATCATATATATCTTTTATACACACTTCCCCACGGCACACCGACCTGAGACAACTTCAGGGGAGACGAGACAAGAAACAACATGAACCCAGTAATTCCATGTAACATATGCTAATTCCATATATAACCATTATATTATTATATAGGGATTCCAAAAGAAAACGCATGGGTATATCTACCCTATTCGTACATTGGTGACCATCACACAAGATCCGCGGCATGATCAGATCTGTGGTATGAATGGGATATCTACTGACAGTAGATATTCCATTACAATAGATATCCCATTAATGGAATATATTCTATATACGTATATCTACTGTAATGGAATAACTATTCCAATAGGTATATCTATACCTATCCCATTGATGGAATATAACTATCTGTAATGGTAATATTCCAATATACTGTAGTGTAATAGGTATACTGTAATGGAATAACTCTTGAGGGATCTTGAGCGTTTACCAATGTTTACCAGGTTCCATGCTACTCCCTGGATTTGCCACATTTTTCTGCATGGCCAAGCAGGTTCCTGCAGCTGATGTCCGGGCGGCCAGATCTCATTGGGCTCAGTCCCCAAATGGCCTGGTGGTGCAAGTGATACACTTAATTACACACCTTTGGTCCATTTTCCTATTGATCAAGCCAGAAAAATGTGAAACATAGGGAATCATGGGAAACATGGGGAAGCCAATGATTTTGACCTGTGTTCTTCTCCTTTCGTTTTCTGCTCTTTGGAGATTGCAACAGCAAAAGAAATAGATCCATATGGGATCATATGGGTCTGTCCAAATATGGGGATACCACATTGATACCACCAAAATATATTTTACTTTGATAGGGTCAGTGATCAGTTACCATATTTTTTTTCGGGGGTACTGCAGCTTCAGATTCTCAGAGGTTTATGTGTATATATATATATACATATAACCAATTATCAAAAGTTATATATATTAGTTATATAATATATATATATATATATATATCAATGTTATTCGTTATATCCCATTGTAGACCATACATTTCCCATCCCACCAAAACCATTTTCCAAAAGACATTGGATTCCACCTTTCCTGACTACATCCCAGTGATGCCTAGGAACCAGCAGCGCAGCGCAGGCGAGGCGAAAAGGTCGAAGATCTCAATATCTGCCTCGATTTTTCTCGGCAAAATCTACTGGAAAGTGGGGCCCCCAAAGGATAGCTAAGTTGGTTTATAACTCCAATTTTTCTATTGTTTATGGTACCTATAACTATAGTATTCATGGGGTTTATAAATCATCTTATAACTGGGGGGGTCCCACATTGTGGAAATTGTGTTTTTCTTGTTTTACCACTCAATATGAGATTGTCCGAAATAGCTTTCCCCTTAAACCAAGTTTGGAACACTTATTCAGTGTGTTTTGGTTTGGCATCCTTATGGCTATAAGATGCTATAAACCAGGATAAACCAGGTATTTATGAAATATCAACACCGAAATTAGTGGGCGAATCGGGCTACCACAAAACCACATACCAATTGGGATTTGAGCATTTGACCATAGACCGTCTGTGTTTGCGCCGGTGAAGTCCCGGAAACAAAAATCCTTCCTCTTCAGCAAATCTAGGTGGATTTCCTATGGTGAAGTGCGTTTTACATCTTCGCAAACATTGCAGTGTCCTGGGGGGACTTAGAGTCTGACTCAGTATACCAACTCCTGCGTAAACTACATACCAATCACAAATTCAGGTGATGTTCAATTAAACAGCCATAGAAACAATCTGACATACAGTATTTGGATTTCTCTGAAAATGATGTGTATCCATGTCCCAAAAATCTGATGGCTAATCATCATCGCAAAATCCCACCATTTTTCAGACACCACAAATCTGGGAGCCCTGGTTACGGCATTGCCCAGGCGTTCTGGTGCCTCCTCCTCCGGTAGTGCTTCCATCAGTTCGTTGACTGCTTCTTGAATCTCCTCAGACACCTCCTGGCATGTCATGCTGGGCTCCCACCTGGTTGGGACATGACGTCTTTTCAAATATGTTCTGGCTGGGTCTATATGAAGGAACACCAATCTGATTTTTTCGGGCAGACAAGATTCCCATTGGTAGTACGTGGTTATGAAAATGAGTGATACCAGTGGCTTCTTATTAGCCATCATGGTGATGATATGTGATGATAGTGCTTGCGTTGAAGATCAATGGTTACCCTGCAAATTGGGAATAAAAAGCGACCAAACATGGCTGGTGAGTGGTTTCAACTCATCAATTTCTAGAGGACCAAGCTTGGCGGCGTCAACCCATCGATAGCTTACTGGCTTGAATTATCGCAAACATCGCTACAGGACACCAAGTTTTTTCCCCATTGAAACTGGGGTTTCCTACATATTTTCCCTTGAAGCAATTCTGGGAATAGCACGTGAAACACCGGTCCTTAAGACATAAGATCTCCAGCAGCTTTCGTTTCACTGCTCCGCAATCCATCGGAAAAGGTTTCTCCATTTCGTGCCATTGCAGTCTTCTCGACAACGCTGTCCTGGGCAAAGGAGATAGATTACAGACATAAGTCTATATCAAACCCAAACGCCAAACCACCATTTTGGCCTTGTTCTTTGCATTTTAGTAATTTTGCTTGATAATTTCCAATGCAATTCACTTGGAACCTCTCATTTTTTTTGAGAATCTCTAGGTCTTTCTGCACAGGTCGATAGATACCAGCTCGCATCCCCAAAGGATGCAACCCATCCTCCGGATGGCCATCGCCTGAAAAACTCGCCTGGTGGCTGCCAATCGTGAACACAAGTTTTGTTTTTTTCTTCGGCTAATCTCTTGATCCTGTTCAATTTCAGGTTTCTTGCAAAAAACATAAACACCATGGCATATTGAAGGTTTACCGCGGTTTACCCCATCATTCACCCACTCTTCCCCCCGTCTTGCCCAGCTTCAAATCGCTCAGCGTCACCTGCTCCGCAGATCTTCGTAGAAAGTCATCCGCCATGCGGCGTGGCCATCGAAGCTCAGGGGTATCATCTGCAGGAAAACCACTTCTCCTTGTGGTTTTATGATGTTTGATGTAGTGCATGTGCAATATTCATATATTATTATAATCAGTGACAAGAACTCGAGAAAATCGAAAGGTTGATCTTTGTGATTTTGATGGTTGTTTATTTCATGAGATGGCTCCCTGTCCTCCCTAACGATAATGTTTGATGTCTTGTTCCAGCTAGATCTTGAGTCTTGGGACCCCTGAAACCAGCGGCGCTCAAGAAAGGACCTGCTTCTCGGCTTCAACCCACTCCGCAAAAACAGTCTCGTCAAGTGATGTCAAGTGGGGTTACCCTCTGGTAAACAGCCACATAACTATGGAAAATCACCATGTTTAATGGAAAAATCAACTATTAATAAATGGTCATGTTTAATAGCGTTTTTTGTATGTTTACCAGAGGGTAGTAATTGACAAATGATGATAGATTGATAGATTGCTAGTTGATTTTAATAAGCTATGTTGCTTAATCATGATTGATCATCCCAAATCAGTGGAACAGCTCTTCGCGCCTTGACGATGTTTCCACTGGACACCACCAGCGAGCCCAGCTCTTTGTGCCGTGCCTGGCACAGGCTGGCGGCAACGAAACTGCTAAGTGACCAACACATCCTGTTATATTAGTAGTAACGACAGTAATTAATAATTAATAATTAATATATAGGAATGGTAATAATGACAGTAATAATCGCAAACAAAATAATAGCAACAATAATAGTATAGTAATAACTAATAACAATAATAATGATGAACATAAGACTTGGAGGCACCCCAAGTCACAATAAGATCCATAAGTTTCAATACTAAAATGGTCGTTCATGACTTGGATGATTTAGGGTACCCCCACTCTATGAATCCTCCATACCCTCCATGTACTTCGGATCGTTGGAACACCAACGACCCCTATTTTGGATGGGTCATCCTTCATTTGTTGGTGTCAACACATCCCAAAATACGGATTACAAATAGGGTCATCCACATTTGTAGATGCAAAAACCTACCCTAGAAAACTCAACTCATAGATGCAAAAAAACCATTGAAAAAACCTCGATCAGGGGATTCCAACATTTTCCGATGTTCCCATTTTCGATGGGGATTTCTCGGGAAAAGCCACGGCAAAAGCCACAAAAAAAACCTATCCACGTCCCGGTGCAGCCTGATATGTCGCCTGGAGCTCTTCCAAGGAATTCACCTGCGACAGGTAAGTCCACGATGCCTAGGGTTATCCCATTTAAAAACAGGTTACCCTCTGGTAAACATACAAAAAACTATGGAAAATCACCATTTTTAATGGGAAAATCCACTATTTCTATGGCCATTTTCAATAGCTATGTAACAAATTACCAAAGGGTATTAGGGGCCAGTTACTAACTTCTGTGGTGATCCTCCAGGTAGGATATTTAAATATTTGAAAATCTGAAAGTCGCAAGATGGGAAAGGTCTGACATTCTGTGAGGAATTTCACCTGCAGTAGATGACTTGCCGATTCCAGATCCCACGCATTCTGCATGGAGTACTGGAGCGTATCCGTTGGTACACCGAATTTATGGCTAGAATCTGGGATTGATTGACATGTAGTGAGAAGTGACAAATCATAAGTGATGTGGAAATTCCATTTCTGATTCTGAAATGTGCACTGCATCTATTTTAGGTCTGGGTCAAAGCGAACCAGCAAGGTTCTTCATGTGTGTCTTCAATCATCACTGTTTCGTTTGGTGTTAAGAACTATTTAAGCACCATGTTCAGTGCTAATCATCTACCCCAAACTTGGAAAAAAGAAAAAAAACGCCAAGTTTAACTCCGGTTGTCAGGTTGAATCCTCATATTTTATCATCATAGTTGTCAGTGTTTTCTCCACTTCAACCGATAAAGGGCTAGCCCCGCTATGGAAAACTCCATTTGTGGCACGCCTTCTTCACTCCCACCGATGCTGCACCAGACCTGAGTTGATTTCGGAAATGGACCCGCCAACAGTGACCAATTGTGCGAATCCAGTGGTGCCTCAATTTTGGTTGATGACCAGATACAATCATGAACTGGAGTATGTATATATGTATGTATATATATATATATTGTATATTGTGTATCCTAAGATTGTATATATGAATAAAATTGTGTATCACCAAAAACATCTTCCAAGGCTGGTGTAGCAATTGCTCTTGTATCTTGAGATGTACTCGAGTGACTCTAGTGCATGCATCCAATTGCATCTTCAAATGTTCAAACACCTACCCTCTTAAAATTTAACAAAGCTTTTGACAATGACATAATTCATGAAGTTGATTTAGATTGATGTAGCATTGAGTGATTCAACATGGTGATTTTCCACTTTGCAAACTGTTAGTGACCATCTAGGCTCTCCAACCGCTTACCAGTTGGACCCACCATCCAATTCTTCCATCCGCTGCTGGGAGTGAAATGATCCTCCAAGATCCTCCAGCTATAAAAAGGATATGACAAAATATTGTGTATATATATATATACACATATCACATATATATATATATGATATATATGATAACTATATATGATATAATATCATATATATGATATATATATATATATATATGATATATATATATATATGATATATATATATATATCATGATAGCTATCATCATTCACCCCCCTTACCATCCATCCCCTTGGGTTCCCCGGACACCGGCTTCAGCACCGCCGGAAAGCCCACCCGTCGGGCCGCCGGTTCCACGTCCGCGTCGCTGCGGATCTCGTGCACCGGCGGCGTGGGCAGCCCGTTGTGGCGCATCGCCAGGCGCGTCAGGGACTTGTCGCGGGCCTATTAAGGGGCGGCCTTAACGGCCTTAAAAAGGGGAGATATCTATGGAATCTATGGTACCTATAGATATGGTTTATCTAGGAATCTTATAACTATGGTACAAAGTGGTGCCCCATAGTTAGCTAAGTTGGTGCAAATAACTCCAATTTTTCTATGGTTTATGGCAGATATAACTATAGTTAATGGGGTTTATAAACCCACTTATAACTGGGGGGCACCATCCTGTATGGAATCTATGGGAATATGCCAGATGTTATGGAGATATTTTTGGAATTCTATGGGACTATGCCAGAATATCATGGAGATAAGTAAGTAAATTGAGTGATTAAGATATAATGGGAATATAGGGGAGTGTTTATATAATTAGGATATAACTTCGATATGGGAGATACTTGGGATATAATAATTTGAATACAATGGGGATATTTAGATCGAATGGGGATATAATTGGGAACATAATTTGATACAAATGGGATGTAATAGTGCTTTAAATGGGGATATCGGGAAGTAGATCAACAACAATTGGGCAAACACATTATGAATTTTGGAATTTACCCCTCAAAAACAAGGACCTATGCAAATTACCAGAATGGGGACATATCGGTGATGTAATCGTATATCATGAGATATACTTGGGATATAATGCATAATTTATGGGGGTAATAGTGGTGATCATACTGTGAATTCAATGGAAACTCAACCAACTCGGGACATAATCCAGATTTGTTGGATTTTAGTTACCCTCTATATTTTCCTGTAACAAAAAGTCATTGAATAATATGACATATCGATACATATCGTGGTTTCCTAAGTCATGGGGATACCCCCCACAATCATCCAGTCGTCATGGATGACCAGCTGGAGATTCAGAACAACAAACATGGTGGTTTTGACGTTTTGACCCGCAAAAGATGGGTGATTTAAACCACAAAAACGATGGATTTCACATGATTGAACTTGATTGAACCATCAGCTGATAACCAAATTTCAATGGGTGAATTTTGTCGACATCTGAGCAACACCAATATAAACATGTGGATGAACCCGGAAATCAGTTTTCATGGTGTGACTCTAACTCATCACATCCCAGGATTCTTGGGAGTCACCCACGTTCCTCATCATGCTTTGTCAAAGATCCCAACTGAAAATGACCCATTGGTCAGCTTCCCAGAGGGTACACACTCTCTGGTAAACACACAAAAAACTATGGAAAATCACCATTTCAATAGGGAAATCAACTATAAATGAACCATGGCTTCTACTATGTTGGTTTACCAGAGGCTGTATCTCTCCAGTCTTCTTGGTGAAAGCTACGAATTGTTGTTGGGTAAAATCCATGGATCATGTCCAAAACCATGTGGCTTAGATAATCCAGTGGACATCGCTTGGCCTCCTTGTTCTTGGGCTTTGGTGTCTGTTCTAAATTTGTTTGAACGTCAAATTCCAATATGTATACCCTCTGGTAAACTAACATAGCTATTGAAAATGGCCATAGAAATAGTGGATTTTCCCATTGAAAATGGTGGATCTTTCCATAGTTATGTGGCTGTTTACCAGAGGGTATTGCTTAAGAGTATCCAATTTCCACATGTTTCATCAATCAAATCCATTTGGTTGGATTGAGAACATTTATGCTTCACAAAAGCGCAGGTTCCAGAATCAAAGCACCTAGAATTCCTCTTAACATCATTTAACATCCTGTGAACATCCCGTTCTTTATCTATTTTCATGACACAAAATCTCTTAAAATCATTAAAAAAGACCCATAACATCCATGAAAATCCCACAAAATCCCATAAAATCCCACAAAATCCCATAAAATCATCTAAAATCCCCCAAGTTACCTTGGTTCTTCCCCCTGCGCACCGCCCGGCACCTGATCCGTGGCCGACGTCAGCGGTCCCGGCAGCCCCAAGAGCTCCGCCAGGCGCGCGGTCAGCGGCACCGAGAGCTCGGCGAAGGTGCACACGCCGTCGATCTGTGAAGGTTTCAGGGGAAACTTGTGGATGGTTATCATAAGTTAATGGTTATCATAATAATAATGGTTGATAATGGTTAATAATCTATTATAACCATGGATCTATTATGATAATAATGGTTAATAATGGTTAATAATGGTTGATATGGTTAATAATGGATATAATCATGGATAATCATGGAATCTTATAACTATGGTACAAAGTGGGGCCCCCCCAGTTATAAGATAAGTTTCCCCTGAATATAGTACCATAGTTTCGGTGCCACAGTTATAACTATGGTTTATCAATAACTATGGTTTATCAATAATGGTTAATAATGGTTAATAATGGTTAATATGGTTAATAATGGATATAATCATGGATAACTAATGGATAATAATGGATGGTACCATAATTTTAAGATCTTATAACTATGGTACAAAGTGGGGCCCCCGTTTACGATAGCGTTCAGTTGGTGCAAATAACTCCAATTTTTCTATGGTTTATGGTACCTATAACTATGTGGGCCACCCCAGTGATTATTGATTGGAAGGTTTAAGGGAAATTTTACAGGAAAACATAGATTTTCCCATTAAATACAAGATGGTTTATAAGATAGATGGGCCCCCCCCAGTGATGGAACGATGGTTTATAAACCCCATGAACTATAGTTATAGGTACCATAAACCATATAGTTATTGAAGTTATAAACCAATTTAGCTATCTAGTAATATCCCCAGTTATAAGATAAACCATAGTTATAGGTACCATAAATATAGTTATTGATAAACCATAGATTGATAAACCATAGTTATAGGTACCATAGTTTATAAACCCCATGAATACTATAGTTATAGGTACCATAAACCATAGAAAAATTGGAGTGGTAATAAAAGATTATAGTGGCAACATTTGATAATATTACCCATAATATGGCCACTCTAATATAGATGTTGTCATAATCTTATGGTAATATATAGATATATGGTTTCATGGGGATTATAGATGGGGATCTGTGCACCTTCATAGTTTCATTGATGATATTATCTACATGGCAATCTTACGGATAATATTATATATATATATTATAGTGGCAATATAAGATTATAGTCCATCTATATGCATCAATTATTCTAAACATCATATTCATAATGGATAATAATGGTTAATAATGGTTGATAATGATTGTTAATGATGGTTATATGATGCTTATATGGTGGTTATCTCTACAATAATAGCTAATAATGTTGATTAATGGTGGTTATATTATATTAATAGCTATTAATAAGCTATTATTATATTGGTTCCCCATTGATGCTTATTATCATGGGGAAACCAATGGGGATTTGAACATCAAAACATCAACCATAGGGATTTTTGTTACATTTGTGACCGAAAAATCAGGGGTAGCTACATATATAGGGTAGGTACAGGGGGGGCCACCATATATATATATATATATTATATGATCTATATATGTACATATGATTATATATTTATATGTACATATTATATGATCTATATATGTACATCGTTTTATGATTCACCATATGGATGTTTTTTAAACGATTCATAAATGGTCATTTTGTGCACACAGCGCACAGGATCAAGTCAACCATCCCCAGTCATGGTAGGTTTATGGCAGGGTTTCCCACATGAATCTTGAAGATGATCGAACATATATGGAATAATAAATCCCCAATCTAGATGTCCACATATCAACCATTTAGTTAAGAACATATTCATCATTACAAGAGTCACCGAATGACGGGAATCTCTGGTTCCCGACCAGCCAGCCATATCAGATTCCCATCTAGCCATATGATGCCATATGGAGGTCTCCTGAAATAAGGCTACCCCCAGTTCTCATCCATTTATAAAAATCAAGATCAATTTAGCCATGGATGGATAGTTATCTAGCCAATAGCTACCCCATGGATGATTTTTTCATAAACCATCCAGCATCTAGCGAGTTTTAGGGGGTACCACCATGGCTTTCTTAAGAACAGAGATTCCATAAACTAATAGCCTGGGTATATAGTATAGCCATAAACCAATAACCATTCCCATAAACCAGCCATGTCCAGGGGCCTTGCCAACCACTGGATCCTGCTCGCAAGCCTCTAGGGCTGCCAAGCACGACTTCACCACCTACCAACGCGCCGCGTAGGGGGATGAAATGAATGGGCAGCTGTACTCAAAAATTGGGTAATGTGAAAATATGTATGTATGTGTATATATATATAGATTATAATGGTTCTGTTAAAAGATCATAATGTACTGTCATTATGTATATGTATATGTATATTATATAATTATATATATAAAGAGCGGAACACATCTGAAAAACATGACCATGAACTGGTGGAGTGTCCCATGCACTTTTCCTCGGGAAACCGAAGAAGATTGAGAACAGATTCGAGCAATGGCTGCAAAACCCCGGTTGATGATGAGTTGCGGGATTATATAATATATATTTAAAATATATATAATTACATATATATATATAATTATACAATTATTATATACATAAACTAAGCGATATATGATCCACCATCAGGAATCCTTCTTCCAACCTCCGAGGAGGACTGCATCATGTCCACCTCAGGTGTTTCGTGGGATGGTTTGTTTCGCTGCCCATGAAGATTCGACCAGCCGAAAAATCTGGGAATTTGACCAACGAAATTTTCGTCAGAGACAGAAAATATGGGAAAATTCACCAGTCGTATCACCGGGATTCCCAGAGAAACATCCCAATTGAAACAGCGGATCTACTGGCGATCAATTTCTCTGGATCTTTGGAGATCCAAGTTTTTGAACCTACTGGCTGTTGGACCCCACAAAACCTCCGAAAAAAAAATCCAATTCGCCCAAGGTGCTGGAATGAACTTCACGGCCTTCTTCTCCTCAACTAACCTTGGATTTGCGACCAAGGCTCAAAAAATTCATGGGAAATAGTGGTGAATGATGGTGAAGAATGATTGATAGTGCTTCATAATGCTTCATAATGTTTCATAATGCTTCATTTCTTTGGTCTGCGAAAACCCGTGGGAAATCCCCAACAAATTGAATTTCTGAGGAGGTTACTGTTGCTGGATGGTGAATTTTCCAGCCATGTGACTGATTACCAGAGGTTATACATATGCACACGAAATTCCCCAAATGATTATCCAAGTGGAAAGTGAACAGTGATCTTCAGCACAAGTGGGTTTGTCTGAAACTCTTGTACCTCATGTTCCCCATATTTTCCTGATGATTTCATAAAATCAGTTCTAGAATCATAATTTCCCAACTTAAATGGCCACAACTCGGGTGGTTACCATCCTGCAAACTAATATTTTTCTAACATAGATGTGGAAAAAACAACATGCGTAAATGAGTTTCCAAGGGAGGCAATCAGTTTTCCACATCGAACTGTTAGTTTACCCTAGGGTAAATCCAGGTGAATCACAATGAGAATCACTATATTAATCATCTGGTTGGTGGTTTCAACCCCTCTGAAAAATATTAGTCAATGGGAAGTATTATCCCATATACTATGGAAAATAAAAAATGTTTGAAACCACCACCGAGTCCTTAATCACTATTAATCACTAATAATCACTAATCGATGAATCATCATAATCATCGTTATATTAGATCACCATTAATCACTATTAATCACTATTGATCAATGATTTTCCACTTGATCCTTATGTTTAATCCTATGTTTTCCCTACCAATCCTCCTTAAATCCAGGCCACTTCCTACTCCAACTGTCAGGGCTGTCAATGACCACGATGCGCACGCCCAGCTCGTAGGCTTTCTCGTAGATGAATCGCTTGCCTTGAAAGGCACCACGGGGACTGTTGGGTTTGTGGTAGATACCCTCTGGCTATCTAACATAGCTATGGAAAATGGCTCATTTCTAGGGGGTTATGATGATTTACCTATCCAAAAAGGTGATTTTGCATAGCTACGTTAAATAACCAAACGGTATATCGAACTGAATGGAGCTTATCCACTGACCTATAAATCAACTTATGATACCTTAATGGGGTTTTGATGTAGACCATGGTAGACATATTAAAGTAGTTAGTGAAGGTCAAACACTTACAGTACAAACTAATTTAGAATTGTCAAAAAGGATGGTTTCCATACCAAAATTATCCATTCCCCCCGTATCACTGAGGAGACTTTACGGACAAGAATGGGACTTCATTTTTTTTGGAGTTTGCCAACAAACATGGAGGGTGCTTGAGGAATAAACATTGGGGATGTCCAAAACCAGCATGGGTTTGAATGTGATGTTCACCCCCAAAAAATGCGCATGTCACTTGCGGAAGGAAGGATGTACCAGCTAATTAAAAGTTGCTTTTTTGTGCATAAAAAACACATCACCAGCACACATAGATATTCCTTGTCCCGGGGGTATACCCTGCAAAAATTGGATAATTTGAAAGCAACGCCCCGAAAAAAGTATCCCAAAGTGGATCATACTCAAGACCTTGTATGATCCCATGACCCCTTGCAACCCATCTCCTCTTATCCAGCTGGGTTAAATCCACAATTTTGGACATACAAATCACAGTTTCTTGTGCTTAAATTTAACTTTTGGTAGTTCAAGTTTAAACCCCAGTTTCTTACATGCTCCTACTTAAGTCCCCAACTTTTTGAACCCTGATTTCCATATTTCTGTTCATTAAACCATTTGTTCAAAACTGTTAACACCCATTATATTATACTCCCACTGTCCCATTAATTGTCGTTTGCTTGAACCATGTTCAACCCCTATTTTTCCACGGTTTACTCCCACCCATCGATGCCCATCAAATCCAATTCCAAGTTTTCTTTCTTAAATTCCACTGTTCATAAATTGTTCATCTCAAAATCCAGTTGTTCTTACTTGAATCCCAAATTATAGTTTTATAATCCCTCTAGTAATTATCGATTAGACAACAGGAAATTGTTGAGCGTACAATAGACTCACCTTACCTCCACGAGTGGCTCAATGAAGCGGCTGTGGCAAGTGCATGTGTCTATAGTTTTAATTTTGCTACCATCAGGCCTGATTACCAAGGCAGATGATTCATCTCAACATCCCTGCGCGTTTTTGGTCTTTTTTAATTGTCTTCTGTGCCAGTTTAATTCGAGAGCATATGCAACTTGCGGCGGTAGATTTTAAGTGAGATTACTATCACATATGAATCTAGCCTTAATTACAACGTTTATCTCATTTCTCTCAGTGTTGTGGTAGCCAAATCACCATATTCCAATGGTGGATTCAGTGGGAAAATCAGCCAAATCACCGACTCAACAAACCCAGCTTTGGCCATAGGTTAACAGAAATATTTATCCCATAACTTGCCCATTTGCCCATAACTACAATAACTATAACTAGCAATCCCATAACTAGCCGTTTTGGATTGGATTTATCCCAGAACTAGCCATCATAACATAGAAATCATATGAGATCATTGTAATCAAACCATCATCTCGGCATCATCTCAGTATCCCCATCCCAGCTATCTCCCCGCCTTCATATCCCGTGGTGATGAATGCCAGCGTCGCACCTCTCAGGATGCCACGCCTCAATCGCTGCCCCTGCAGCGAGCGCTGCACCAACAGGCGACGTGGGGCCTTGGCTAAGCGCTCGCCGACGGCCTTGGGCATCGTCGCCAAGGCCTGGCAGGTTTCGTGGTGAGGTCGTGATTTACCCAGTGAATGGATGGGAATGGGGGAATGGGATTATTATTAATAGTGATTTATGGATCATGATATAGTGATTAAATATGGTTACCCAACCTGGTTATGACATTCACAGTTCGCCATGGTATGCATCGATGGCCCTAATCGATTCATAGATGATTTTCCCAGCGACATCAACCTCCATTTATATCATTGATTTTGGGGCTTTTCCATGGCGAACTGTTAGTCATAACCAGATGGTGGTGAGTTCATGGGATGAACCGAACCAAAGTCATCACTGCGGGTTTTCATCGATGTACAGGAAAGTCAAGGGACGTATTGCCAAAGGGAAAAGACCTATAGATCGGAATGAGCCCAAGACTAGGACGCAACAACTTCATACAATCTATCAACGCTGAAAACACTGAATACAATACCAACAAAGGTCATGCAGGCAAATGTCGTCAATTCATCATAAAAAATGGATCAAACCAACAAAATAGAAGGATACGAACGGGTATTCTAGGGAAATCACTCACTTTGCCGGCAGATCCCAAACCAGCCAACAGTGAATGTTTGGTCAATGTGTCCTCGGTAGCACGCATAGAGTGATGTATTATATAATGAATATATAAAAATATTACATTATTATGTATATAGTATATACACATCTGATCACATATATAGATACGTCTGTGTTGGCAGCAGTGACTGTGGCATTGTGTGAAAGAAAACCGTGGCCGCAAAATTTCACTGCACAATACAGGACTGCAATTGCTGCAATATATTTCGCTATTCGGATTATTCATTGACACAACTATGACATTTAACCTCCATATAGGGATATAACCTCCGCAACGATGGTTCTATAACCATCTATAACCTACAACTATGGCAACATAACCCACTTATACCCCACAAGAATTAGTGGAACTGCACCCTCACGCTGTTCCCAGCGCCTTGTCCACCAATTTCTCGGTCTGTTTCTGACACTCCACCTCTGTTAAGCCTTGAGGAAGGCTGCCGGGGGAGGAGAGCAACTGTTCCCACATGAAGTTGGACGGTGAATCTGTCCGCGAGATGCCAATCTCCTGAGGATCCATGGGAGATATGGGTGACGCTACCAGTTTAGTACAATGTGGTGCCCCCTAGTTATAAATTGGTGTATAAACCCCATTAACTATAGTTATAAGTACCATAAACCACAGTTATTGGAGTTATAAACCAACTTAACTATCTAGGGGGCACCACATTGTAGCTATCACTTCTTGGGGCCTGATGTATCAGGGACTGGCTTTGCAATAGCTGAAGCTCGAATAAGTTGAAATATTTGGGAAAGGATGGCAAAGGACCAATGGGCAGCCAAACTCCCATTCAAAGCATGCAAATCATTCAAAAGGAACATATCTGCATCTGCTACTGTATCATCTGCTTAGCAACATCTAGATGCGTGCTCGGCCTATTCACTACTCCAAGTACCGTCAAATTCAAGGTTTGTAGCCTTGTCACAAGCTGCCCCTCTAGATTTTTCATGATTTTTCCACCCCCGTCCTGCAACCTTCCAGGCTGTGCCCCTGCAATCGCATCGCGACTGATGCGCCTGGGCTTGCCATCCAAATGGGTCACCGTGCCCGCTGGCGGAGTTTCCCTGAGTTCGAGGTCCCCCTCCACCATCTCCCAGGTGCCCCAGGGTGCTGGCATGGAGGGCACGGGGGAGGCCCAGCTGCCAACGCACGGCCGGTCATGGGAGGGGATCAAGTCCACCTCCGGCGAAGGCCCCCAGGGCGAGCAATCCGGCACCGCGCCACCGGTGCGCGGGGTGGGGCCGCTCAGCAGCTGCTTCAGGGGCAGGCAGCAGCCGGAGAAACAGGTTTGGGCCGCCATGGTGGCTGCAACAGCAAAACAAAAAACAGAGAAGCGCCCGTGGTCCGGTGATAATAGAAATGTGCTGGGGTTCCATGGGGGGTTATGGTTGCTAGACATGTTGGGCCTGAGCCTTTGCGGAATCCTTGGTTGTGAGGTTTGTAATCAGGTTGACATCACAACTGCCTTCTGCCTGAATCTTCTTATGTCTGGGACGCTAAAAATGCTGCGACGAAACCCATCGAGCTGAGTTTGTTTCGACAGAAATGATTAATTGGGGCGAATTGTCGTTTTGATAATTGGGTATGCTTGGTATGTCATAAAAAGATGGCACATCAGATCAGAATTACTGCCAAATGGATGTTTCCTGAATAGCCATTGACCAATCATCTGAACCTTTCAAAGAGCAGAAGCGTCCCGTGAGCCTTTTTGCACAACAGCAAACAGCCAGAGGCTCTTCCCCGCAGGGAAGGACTGATGGTCTTGGGTGGGTACTGTACATGGGCATGGAAACCCACCATCCCCATCCTCAATTCCATCCGTGCCAATGGAGGATCACTTCACCTGGTGGCAATTGGTTGGCTGGTTTCCTGGTGGCAATAACAGCTACCCCCATGAAAAATTTCAAGCTTTTGCTGGTTACATATCCATTGCATGAACCCCAGGGTTGCTAGCAACCAACCCCTGTTTTGATTGGTTTCATATGCAGCTTTTGATTGGTTCGACACCTTAATCATCATGGTCAATCTCAAGTACCCTGAAGACAACATTTTTTGTAGCTAACAAATGAAACCAATCTTGGACTATACCCCATACGCAGAAGCCGTTTCTTGGTGATATCCCGTGAGGTCCTATATTTTTTCTGTTGGGTGTAGGTATATCCATCAGTCCCAAGATAGCTCCAAGATAGTTCCCTCCGAATCACTGGAATCTCTATCCCATGTTCTCCATCGTTAATCCTCCGGTTGACCCGGTGCCACTTTATGAACCCATTTTCATCCATTTTTCATGTGAGCCATTGAAAATACCCCTATCCCATCTCATTATACTAGTTGGTTGATAGGTGTCCCCATTATGGGTTATCATAATCCCCAGTAAACCAGGTAGTACAATCCCCTATAGCAATCAATTAACCAGGGTCTTTTTAATGGCCCATGTTGTGTTTCCACGGTGAAATCCTCCAGTTCTTTGTCACTTGACTATGCTCGGCCCATGCGACTCAGGTTTCGCTTCTCGCACATCTCCTCAGTGTCCGTCCAACCCAACTGGAGCAACTTCTGAAACATATCACCCGGCAAAAGGTTTTGAAACATATACTCGATTGTTGGTATCTTGATATATATATATTGTGATAATATAATTATAGTTTGATTTTGAAAGGTTCAGTGAAATGATAACTCTTTCCAACATGTTTAAACACTTGATAGCTTTGAACTTTGCAACCGAAAAAAAAGAAAAGCAGGCCAAATTGGGAGTTTACCTAGAAACGTATAATTAGAAAAGCCAGAACATCACAATAAGTTGAGCATGGGCACAGAACGAATGATTTCAGGCTTAACCCCATCATCCAAGGAGAGGGGAATTACAGATGATCAGGATTGGTTTCCAATGAAAATCAATATTTCCAATGATTACTCCACCATTTTTCTTCGATCCCAAGTTCCGAAACTATCCACAAATGCAGCGCATAAGCAGGTGACCGGCCTGCTTCACTGAGGTTCCAGACATTCAACGCCAAGCTGGTGACCGGATAATTCCCCGAAAGAAGGTCAAAGGTTCCAAGTCCTTCAACGGTGAGCTCTGACCAAAAATCCCTCGGATAACTGGTCAGTAACCTTAAGGTTAGTAAGTCTGCGATTCCTAGGGTTACCCAAGATAAATATATATATATGTATCTATATAGGGTTGTCTAGGCTGTAACCCCACCTACTATATAACCAGTTATTAAGTGGGATGATTCTCCAAGTAAGGCGTTGATAAAGAAAGGAGGGACCAATAATTTCTAATGCAATGATTAGAACAGATTAGAACAGATTAGTATACTACTGCTTTGGTTTCTATCTTTGGGGTTGCAACTGTCTGTATCCATCCTAGGTCACTTCATCAATCGGATTAGCCACATCCCATCAGGGTGATTGTTTTCTGGTGTTTCACAAAAACATGGAGCCTTAGGCTCTCTAACTCTAACTCCACAATTTTAAACATGAAATTTGGGTATGTCTCCAAATGAGGCTCTTTTGGTGTTGAAAAATGTCACCTTGAAGAAAAAAGGTCGCCTCATTTTTGAGGCATCCCCGTTCACCCTCCCGTAAAGTGACTTTAATGTGGAAAACCCACCACTTGTACATTATTTTCCTAGGGTTTTCCAATGGGTTTCCCACATCTATGCAAACGTGTCTGTGTATGTATATATATATATATGTATGTATGTATATATATATATAAGTGCATGTATAAATACATATGTATATATATATATGTATATGTGTATGTACATATGTATGTATGTATGTATGTATGTATGTATGTATGTGTGTGTGTGTCTGTATGTATGTATGTATGTATGTGTGTGTGTATGTATGTATGTATGTATGTATGTATGTATGTGTGTATACTCGCCTGCGTCGAAGTAGTAACGCAAATGAACCAATTCTCGATGTTCTTGCCTGGGAACATCGGTGATCCAACTGAAAAAGATCTACATCCATCCAGCTCCGTCATGGCACTGGAAAATTCACCATTTGTAGACTGGGATATACAATTTTCCCATTAAGGATTGGTTGTATATATATATATTGTATATAGATAATAATTGGTAATATTGTATACAACCAATAAAATTCACCATCCAACAAAAAAATAGGAATTTCAATACACGTTTGATTAGGACATTGAAATACTTATGCATCATTTTATGGTTTTCGCCAGCAGGGATTGTATGGATTTTTTCATACCAGATCCCTGACATTATCTTTTGTGGTGATCGTAGCTGAGTCACACATCCCACGATATAAGCAGGATAGACGTGACATGAGCTTATGTTCAGTTCTACTAAGCTTACTGGTGCTTAGTAGGGAATGGATGGGAATGGGGGAATGGGATGATTATTGCTAGTGATTATGGATCATTCCCTCATTCCCTACTAAGCACCAGTAAGTAAGTACGCATCAGAATTTCAAGCATCTTTTTCCAATGTTTTTTAAACCTTCAAGGAAGGACATGCTCAGCGGTATGTGAGAATGCTTAATCTTTATTCATCAGTGTGCCAAACAGTGCCAAACAAAGGGAAGCCTTGAGCTGCGGTTGTGTAATCTACTAATTTGTACAGTACGCATCCAACAAAGCATCTCAGGTCCAATATTTGCAATTTCCCTGCTAAACCATGGTTTCTGAGGGGGCATTTATTAGGGGAAAGGGATTACTGGTCAGTTGCAACTATCACCCCAGCTAGGGTTGTCTCAAAAATTTAGAGACCCAAAATCCACCAAAGTCCCTGGGGTTATCATCAGAAATTCCTGGTATCCAGCTTCACTTTGAGAAAAACCACGATAAATCAACGTCCATCACCTCTCTGTGGCCAACTCCCAGCCGGCCCTGGAATCCCTGGGTCTCGGAACAGCCAGGTGCGTGCTTTATCATCTCTCAGTTGAACCATCCACTCCTGCATCCCATGAAGAAATGGCTGGGTGGACTACGTTCATTTGGCTCTGCAGGACCATCCGTAGAGGTGCTGGGTACAATTTATGATAGCCGTCCACGGAGATGGTTTACCAGTGTGGCTTCCCATCCAATTTTGCGCTGACCATCCACCTGACTGACAAATTAGTAAAATTTCTCCCATAGTTTTATGGCTAAATCCCCAAAGTTCACGGACAAAGAAGCCATCAAAATGCCATCAACATCTTCTTTTCCTCATATGATCATTGAGATGTCTTGACATGTCTTGAGATGTCTTCAATTGTCTTAACTTGAATCTCTGGTACCAAAAGGTGAACATCTGCAATGTCTCTGAAACTCTTCAGAGACACGCTGCATTCTCCAAGAACTTGGAGGATCATCCCAGTAAGATTCAGCAACGTCTTTGTTACCCCAGTAGATAAAGTTATTATATGGTTAATATATTATATGGTTTATGATGGTTAATAATAACCTGGTTGATCCTGGTTGGTGGTGCAATAACCATCTTGAAAAATATGAGTTCGTCAATGGGAAGGATGACATCCCATATATGAAATGGAACATAAAACATGTTCCAAACCACCAATCAGTAGTATTAGTGGTTACTTTAAGATTTTTATGTTTAAGAGTGGTTGGATTGTAACCCCAGCATCCACATCCAGGGGCCGATCCTGGTAATTGTCGTTGTCCAGAAAACAGCAAGCACGCCGGTACGCGCACTTGATGGTCCTCAGCCCAGGATCTCAGCAGCAAAAACTCTGAGTTTCGCCTGCAGAAATCCGTGCTACCGAATAAACATAGGGATCTAAACCGGGACAATGGGGTCTATAACCACCCAACATGGGGAAATTGTCTGGATACATAACTCGATGCCGGGGAGAACTGCCAAAGAAGGGACCGATGGGAATCGGATAACCTGTCGAAAAAGGAGCCTTCCTGACCTTCATTGCTATGACTGGAACGATCTTCCAAGTATCAGCCGCCAGCAAATACAACCCTGGATTTACTTGAGAAGGCTAAAGAAGTACTGTCTATACTATATGAGGATAAATGAAGATGTCTAATCAAAAAACTAAAAACAATGAATAAAATTTCCAAAATATTCCTTACACGGTCCATTCATCAAGGGAACAAATGAAAAAACAACATCGTTAGCAAATCCAACATATCACAGAAAGTACATACTTACGACAGCAAATAGTGTTATTGCGTGTAATGTCCACATCATTCTTGCATCAAGGATTTCAGATGTTCCCAAACTGTGGCGAATCTTGGTTGCGCTGCAGGAAACCCAATCTGAGAATAAGAAACGCAAACTGACCGTATCCTGAAAAAACGAGTTT